TTCGGGATACGAAAGACCATGTCTCCCTTCGGTCCCAAGTGTGCAACCAGACTGAGATCGTTACCTCCCCCAACCCCAGGCTGTTGAGGACATAGTCCAGTTCCGGATCTATCCTGGGAGCAAGTCCTTGCCTTTGCATCAAACTATGCTCTTCACTATCAGTTTGTGCCTTGGACTGCCTAGGTACGGATGTCAGCAGGACCAACAGTGCTCCATTTCGCAGCACCTCCGACCTTGGTCGCGAGAGCGAAAAATGCTCAGCTGGCTCAACAATGTTGGTTTTTCGAATTGATCCAACCAAGTCAAACCGAGAGAGCATGCACGAAAAGTATCTCATGCTCACTGCATCCGAATGTCCTGATTGTTTAACAATCAGAGATGGCAGTTCACCAAAAGGTGAAGGAACATACAGGATGAAATGGAGTTGGCTCCTATCCGCATCGAAATCCCGAGGCTGGGGTCGTACGATCGTATATTCGCAAATTGAGACCTCACATCGATCTTTCCAGAGCTCATTAAAGGCAATTTGCAGCCCTAACAATTCATTAGCTGGGAGCACCAAGGAACGAGGCTTCGTCTGGCAATCTCCTCTAGCGGCAAACCAGACTTGGTAAATCTGGTTTCGCATTTGATCATGTGGCTGCTCATAGCAACTAAGGCTCGGGCCGTTCCAGACTTGAACTGAGTTCTGAACTAAGCTGAGGTCCAATTGTTCTGAATCAAGGACATTAGTTAGGAAGTCTCCACTAACAGGCATTAGTGCACTTGTCGCAACATCTGCCCCAAAACGTGGTAATAGGTCATGCTCAGCACCGCCCTCGTACTGGTTGTCGAAGCGTGCACAGGATCGAGAAGAAAGCTCCACAGACTGGTTGTCAGCCATACAAGGAGGAACGGGCATCTCTCCACAAAATCGGGAGCACCTCTCTCGGTCCCGGAGGCTTGAAGACCATCCTTGAAAGGTCATTATTGAAACAGCCGAATCAAGCCAAATCGTCTGTTCATCTTCTGCACCAGAGACTTGGGGCTCTTCATGGCTCAGAGCTCCCTGACTAGCTCTAGCACCAATTGAAGCACATTCGGCACCGCTGATCAAAATGAGGAGCCAAATCGCGCGCCACTGGCAAAATTTCCGTGCTTCCTTCCTAGGAAAGCACCTTTTTCCTGCAAGAAATTTGCAAGCTGCAGGGGCTGGTCTTGGCAGGCTTCTTTCTTCCCTACATCTACCCAAGACACCACCTATTCCGCAAAGCAAGGCGAATGCGTTTGCATAGAAAAGACCCAGAATAGCTTGGACCCCTCCAAACCTACTGAATCCATGTTCATCATCTCCAGCTCTTTCGAGAATCATGCCATTACAAAAGAGTGCAATGGCTTGCCAGGCCAGGAAAGCATAGTATCTCTCTATGCTGGGCCAGACATGCATTCGCCGCATTGATTGTCTGGAAGCCAAAAGATCACGAAGCACAATCAGGAACTTCTCAAAGGCTTCAAGAAGTGCAAAGGCCCAGATTGCAAGAAAAGCCGTCAACCCCACACTTTGGAATAGATCAAGGAAAATACCAGCATCCCACCAAAACGGGATCCAGCGATCGTCTCCAAAGTCACAACAGCTACTCTCAGTCTGGGAAAAATTCACATGGTCCTCTTCGAAAGAACCAAATAGGATTGGCCAGGGAAGCAACAACTCATCGGGTAGAATCTGCTGTGCATTTCCAGACAAACCAGATATCTCGTTGTCAAATTCCCAAGAAGAAGGGTGGGTTTCAAATGACCCGTGACGATTGCTTACCACACAAATGGAACCTCCAAGATTGGGTAAGACACTAATAATCCACATAGAAAAGGATGAACCAAATCTAAAATCGCCAAGGGGCTTGCAGCAGCCTTGAAAGATGCCGCTGCTTGATCCCCTAATGGCCATTCCATCTAGGACATCAAGTCCATACTTGCCCTTACACTGCCATCTGGAGTCTTCGCAGTGTCCTTGGGCAAGCGGCCAGGGGTGGCATATGGACCCATCTTGTCCTTCCCATTGAAACGCCGAAATGGCCTGCATGGATGCTCCAGCGTAGGAAGGGCTGCTCCCAGTCCATCCCCTGGTTCGCAACTCGTTGATTCGGCCGTCGCAACCAGCACAGGATCCACATCTCTCTTGGTCCCCTGCATGGTCTCCTTCACATCTTGGATGAGCTGGAGAGCAGACGACCATGTCACAAACTCTGTCGGCTTCTCGGTAATCACCTGCAGAACGCGCTGCTGGCATACTTCTGGAAGCTGTGTGATCTCTGACTGGAGCTCTTCGAAGCTGTACTGGAGCCCTTCTTTCGACATCGACAAGCGAGCCCTCTTGCTGGGAGTTCGAGACCTTCCTCTCCTTTCTGGGCTGGGAGTTCCACTCTCTCTCTTGACCTCCGCTCCGATTGTCTTGGGAGGCTTCACTTCTTGCTTGGGCGAAGTGACAGGAATCTCTCCCGCCAGTCGCGAGCCTTGGACAGCACCCAAAAGCTGTGCCATCTGAATTTGCATAGCCTCGAACATGCGGGCATTGCGTGTCTCCATCTGGGTGGCATACTCCGTATAGTCCCGGAATTGACTCTTGATCATCTTCAATTCCTTCTTGAGCATGCTTGCTTCTTGGCGGAGCTCGTCTTCGTCGGACTCGATCTCGAGTGTCTCGGGGTCTGCTTCTCCACTGTTCACCTTCTCGAGCCGCTTCAGCTCTGCTTGCAGCTCGGCCATAACCCCACTGTGTCGCTTCTCTTCTTGTCGAACTCCGCCATTGACCGACTCTCTCCAAGCTTGGAATTTTTGGTCTTTCCGTGTGATCTCTTCTTTCACCTTGCAAAGCCTGTTGAGCGCTTTGCGCTCCAAGTTCAACTCTCTCTGCTTTGCCTTCAAGGTCTCCCTGGGGTCTTCTTGAACCAAGTCGATCACCTCTTTCGGGACTTCTTTCATCGCATCTTTGGCCATCATGTTCCTCATGGTCTCCTTTAGCTTCTGGTTCTCTTCCTTGAGCTGCGCTTCTTGCGATCCATAAGACCAGCCATGCCCATAGGACCCACCATCTCCTTCGACTTCGATGCGACGACCATCGTACCCGATCAGGAAGGTCTTGCCGTCCTTGGTGTTCTTGTTGTCTTTTCGACCCTTCGGCACATTCCATTGGGATTGGTCCCAATACCAATCCTGTCCTTTCTTCCATGGCATGATATAGTAGGGCCGACTATGATGCTTCTCCAAAAGTTCTTTGGCAGCAAGGGCCTTTCCAACACGGCCAGGAGTAGGATGTTTCTGAAAGGCCTTAATCGCCCTTCGAGCAGCGGATCGCTTACGGCGTGCACGCCGGTGCCAGCTCGGGCTGTTGGCGATCCCTATGGCTCAGAAAAGGGCAAAGGCTGTCGTGCGTGTTCGCACTGGGGCTTCGATCTTTCCTATTGATATACTCGAGCCCTATCGACCTAATCCTAAGAACAAAAAGCTACCTCCTCCGTTCGTAGCGTTCTTGCTCCGTTCGTAGCGATGCCCTTTGCTCCGAACGTAGCTTCTTGTTACTAGTAGTAAGGCCAGGAGCCCCTGGTAGCGTCCTTGCTCCTAGTAGCGATGCCCTTTTGTTACTGTCTAAAAAGATCTGAAAGAATTGAAACATCGTTTTGTCAAGGCACAATCTCTTGCCCGCTATCTCCATCAAGGAGCCTAAAGAATGTCCACACCTCAGTTGTGTACAGTGTATGTACAAACTGTATATTAAATAATGTATATATACATATATACATATTATGTTGCCTTTCTCCGCTATATGAGCTGAGGCACATCATCTATACTAAGTTCTAAAGCTTCGAAATACGTCTTCACGTCAGGATCCTCACACTCACAACATCAAAAATTGGCATCTGAAATCTGCTTGGCACACATTGACTGCCTCCATGCGCTCTTCAAGTTCCACCAAAGTTATGAAACCTCCACAAAACTCCGGATTTCAAGCACTAGTGGCACGAGTCACTCAAAGTTTGGCCTGTATCATCCTGGTCCAACATGTGGAAGAGATGGCTAAACTTTCCTCAGATCCCATGTTTTTTCTAGATGGCCCGATGGCCGTTCGTGGTACAAAGGATTGTAGCACACATGAAGTGAACACGGCGCACCACTTGCAGGCCGAGGTCTCATGAAGGCGCGATTGTCTTGCATTACGTTCTGCATCGCCTGATGTTCTCAGTTTGCATGCTCGAAAGGTAAACAAATACACTTGACAAGCAAAACAAAAAGCACATGATAAACAAAAAACATCTGTATTGATTCCTTTTCTATTGTGGTCGTCATGCATTTGGGACAATCACGGTGACAAACAAATAGTGAATCCCTTCCGCGGACCAACGTATTCTAGATCGACAAAAACCATTTCGGACATGTCAAAACGTGTTCGGAACTGCTTCTCTTGCAACGTTTCAGCGGGCGAAGCAGCGACCATCCGTTTCTAGCCAGGCAAGCAGCCATGTCGTGATCCCGCGCTGCGCCTAAGACTTGCGAAATCGGCGATACGACTTGGAGATACATGAGGAACTGCGTCAAAGTTGCTTTCTATAGCAGATTGGCAGAAGACCCCGGTCATGACCTGGCTTGCGACTTTTTTGGTTTTGATACAAGAGGTAATCAAAGGAGGCACCGACAGGCCAAGGCTTTGGCATTTAACACAGCAAAGGTTGTAAAGCTGATGTACGCAAAGAACACAACCTGGCATCAAAGCAAAGCAAAGGGCGCGCTTGGCAGTTGAACAAGACGCACAAACCGCCCCGCCTTCCATGCCTTGGATGTCACGACAAGCCAACACAAACTCACATAGGCCTACACCTCTGCAGTTGTTCCTAGTAGCTTCTTGTTTCTAATAGCTTTGACACGAGTGCCAGTGGTAGGGAGTGGTCACTTTTGAAACGGAGCGGGCATGGCAACTACAGTAGGCGGAATCGCCGAAGCTTGAGTGCCGGCGAACAACCACAGCTTGATCAACCCTCATGAACAGACAGGAGGTCGCTTTCACTCAGCTCCCCCCAATCTTTGTTGATCAAGCTTGCTAAGAGAACGAGTTCCTCTCGAAAGGAGCTGGGAGCTCTTTTAGAGCGCAGCTTGGAGGATGGGCATTGTCGTCTCCTCTCGAGCTCTGCTTCTTCGTCCCACAAACTCAACCGTGAGGAGCGAAGTGTCTCTTCCAAGGCGCCGTTGCTGCGACTAATGTCTTCCTTGGTGAGAGTGTCAGCAACCATTCGAGGGTGTGGAGACCACCTAACCACCGACCTTGCTCGCGTCAATGCTTCTAAAATGATGGCCAACTCCACTGCCGTCCGTCGATTTTGACGAGAAGAGGCGTACAGCGATTTGGCATCAGTGATGTTGCATTGCTCCAGTCTGCCCTTGAGTTCACCTTGGCCGTTTAACACCGCCAAGTATGGCTGCACTTGCTCGCGCCAAGAGCAGCCATTCAATCTCTGTGAGAGCTTGTGAAAAGGCTAGAGCTTCACTGGCCAACGTAGACGAAACTCTTCTCTTCAACTTGGTCGATCTCCATGACACCGTAGAGACCTTGACTTTTCTGGAAGCATTTGGCAGCTGATCTGAGATGAAGATTACCCAGGCCCCCTGGACTGTGTCCGTCAGTTCGAGGTCGTCTGGTACAGGAGGTTTACTGGCCACACCTCCTGCATCCGAAGCTGAAATGAAAATCATTTTCTCATTGTCGAAATTGTGAAGCACCAATGGTTGGGAAGCCGTGCCTTTAATGCGTTGTACCATTCTGTTCAAAAAACCCAAGTCATAAACTGATGCTCTATTCAGTCTGGAGGACAGGATGCTCACTGTGCCTGCTGCCTCTGGTCTGGTTGGATGCGCCAGCCAGTTTACTCTGTACAGCATGGATCTGTACTGCTCGAAAACGTCACCTTGGAGAAGATCTTCTTTGTTGCCTAGTTGACCTCGAGGGGGTTTGATCACTTGCAGTTTCTCCAAAATATACTTTTGTTGGTCCATCAACACTCCGTCTTTCTCAAATCGGACGCGTCGACCGGCAAAATCGGCTTCTCCAAACTCCCATTTTCCAAAGCGAAACCGTTCAGTCAGCTTCTTTTGCAGGAATTCGAAGTATTTTGGGTTGGCTGCTATGTTCAAGTCGTCTACCTCTATTAGAACAAAGGCAACTATCGCTCCATGCTCCTCCTTGATGAGCCAACAAGACTCCAACAAAGAAGGTCGAAAGCCCAGCTTGCCGAAAAACTCTTGGAGGGTCTCACGCCAAAGCCACGGTGCGTCGTCGAGCCCGTATATTGGAGCAATGATCTCAATGAGTGCTCCTTCAGGTAGAGTTAATCCAGAGCAAGGTTCAGCAAACAGCCTGCCTTGTGGCCGATGCAAAGGCTTTGACTGGCAAAAAGCTGATTGCACATCCGCAAAGGAGATCCTGAAACCCAAGTTCAGCACTAATTGAAAAAACAAGTTAATGGCCTCAGCGCTGGGCATTGGTGCAAATGTCTTGAAGCTACCACTATCTGGATCATGATGGCCGTGCAAGCACCAACGACTTTTGTATTTCCAATTGCCGACCCCTGGCATGGGTTTCTTCCGTCTGATGATTCGTGAGCGCAAAATTCGATCGCGAAATTGTCGTCGAAGATTGTTGGCCTCTTCCCCGACAATCACCTTGGCGGCCTTCAGTGATGGTTTTACACTCCAAATTGTCAGAGACCTTAAACCCATCTATTTCCTCCGGGGTCGCATTCTTCATGTCGAACTCAGAGTTCTTCGGGTTGATGGGTTTAACCATGAGTGAGATTTCTGGCTCGCGCACAGTCTCTAAACAGAAAAGGTTCTCTTCTCCCGGTTCGGTTGGAGTGTAGTCCGTTGAGGTCTCTGTCGGCATGGGAACTCTCAACAAGGGCTGATCTATGGACGCTGATGAGGTTGAGCCCTCCCTTCTCGCACGGAGTCGGTCCAGTCTGTCTAACCTTTGCAGTTCTTTCTCAGCGATCCTCTGCAACCGCTGTGTTTCTCGATCTTCGACCTCCGCCACTCTCTGGCTGACCGACTGGCCATCTGATGATTGGCTTGTGGTCGAAAGTCTTCTACGCTTGTCTGCGGGGGTTTCTGGATTGGGCTCACCACCTGGTTCGTCGAGAGTGCTGTTGGTTCTGCTGGTTCTGGAGGAGATGATGGCTCGAGCTCCCCCTTCTGCTTCGGGGAAAGGAGTGTTGGGTCTCAGCAAGTGTCCAACTCCTGTCGAGTCTACTGCTCGGTCTTCTGGGATTGTAGGCAGGGGAGGCATTCACTGATCATGGGAATGCTCTGCGATGGGTCTGGTGCTCCCTGCTCCATCGCATCTGGTGGGGGGGGGCCTCGCCAGCGACATCTATGGCTCCAATCTTGGCCCGGTGGCCGGCCTGGAGCAGTCCTTGAAGTTCACCTGCTCGAGCCAGCTCGGCCCCCACCGATTCCAAGTGAGTAGCTGGTCTGAGTTGGTCGCTGTTGCACTTCCACAGTCTAGCTCTCATGGAAACATATACAGTGTGACCTGCCTGCAAGACCACCACACCAGGACCAACCCATCTTGACCTGGTGATGTGACCACCACTACCTGATTGCGCAGATCGTCTCCAAACTAAGGCCCACTGTCCAATAGCCCATTGAGTTTGCTTGCGAGGTCGATGTGATGAGCCTAAGCAAACCTTCTCGCTTGAAGTAAACTGAACGCAGAGTTTGCGGGCTTTTTGTCGAAGCTTCTGAGCCCGAGCGAATTCGGCCCCAGCTGTGTCCAAATCATAGGCGTCAGCCACAACGTCCTGCCAAGGTACTTCATTCAAGTCTTCTGGAGAACTGACTATGCTGTTGCCGGAGGATAGCTCATCTTCTGCCTTCTCCTTTAACCATCCCCCGTGGCGTTCCACCCGCCCGTTCTGCCACGGGGAGGCCGCATCACTAATCACCTGTAGAATCCCATATTGTTCCAGGTGCCGTTCGAAGCAGTCCTTAAACTCTGAGCCCCCATCTGACAAAACAACCTCTGGATTGCCAAAGGGCTTCAACCAAGCTGCTAAAAAGGCTTGCCACACACTACGAGAGGAAGGAGTTCCAGCGTCATACCTTTGCAACCATTGTATTTGCTGAAAATTGGCGCCGTGACAAATGACGTTCAAATAAGCCAGTGTCTTGCCTTGCAGTGCTATGTAAAAAATGACCACGTCAATGTATCGGTTGAAGGAAAAGGTGCGAGGCATGGTCGCCTTGCGACGCTCGATTGGTCTCTTTTGTTTCTGGCATTGCTCACAACGATAGGAGTCCTTCACAAATCGCATCACGGCCTCTTTGGCCCGGGCAGCCTTCAGCAAGACTAGCATCTTCTCAGTTGAGATGTGACCTAGGTTGACGTGCAGGAGCTTCACCTTCTTGACTTGATCCGCTGCCAACTGCTCAGCTTGCCTTCTCTCAAGCTCTCCAAGAGGCCTGCGCGGCTCAGCATCGTCTGGTTCATCTTCCTCAACTTGCTCTGCTGCTTCAGTTTCTTCGTCCTCCAAGGTCGGAAAGCTGGAGTCGTAGCAGCTGAGCGGCGTTGAGGAAAGAGAGATGCCCTGCAAAATGATGTGCACCAATTCCGTCGGATAAGCTTGAGCCTTCTTCGGGAGCCCATTCTGAAGAGCCAGATGTTCATGCCCATGGTCACACTGGTACTCGGAAAGCAGAGCAGCCAAGCCAAGGTGGTTCGCGACGAAGGAAGTATCTTTTCGCGAAGGACCTTCGGGGCTAACTCGCAACCCAGTCATGCACTGATGAAATGAAATTCTGATCACCGACTCCTGTTGAAGCAGCCACGCCATAGCGTGAGTTCCACAGCTACTCGCCGAGGTGGGTTGCTCCTGGCATCCTGCCCCAGTTGGTCTCCATGATGGCGGAGAAGGGTCTGCACTCAGATTACATCAACACAATGTCCGGCTCTTGGTCTCGCATGATTTTCCAGAACTCAGCCCGGTCATGAGCATTGAACACATCCCAGCCGGTCTCTAGATCAAAGGCCGCAGGCCGCGTGCACTGCAACCCATAGGCGGCTGCCAACGTGCTCACTCTGGGCGGCGAAAAAAGCTCCAGCATTTTGTAGGGGCCACCGGCCTTGTTCGCAGTCTCTCCATGGCAAAAGATCCTACTCAAATCTGGAGACCTAATGGGGCACTTGAAACTAAGCCCGGAAGGGCTGGTGACCTGATTCACGCTACACATCCTTGTCTTTCTTGCGGTCCTGGCCTTGTCCGCGGGGCTGGCTGTTTGATTCTTTCTTGTATCTGTTCCCACCTCCGTTCCTGCGTCTCTTGACAGGCTCCCAGGCTCTTGATTCTCATCTTGGTTACAGATCACAAGCTCGCCGCTCGCGACCAATGAATTAATGAACTGCTGTATGCAATCGTGGTCCTGTCGCGGGTTCAAGTGAATTCGGCCCGATTTCCGTTCTACTCAAAAAACTTTTCACAGTCTCCGTCAAGGAACGTTTCTGGGAGCGGGTCAGCTGGACTTCCCTGAAATCACTGCACTCACCAATGTCGAAATCCATGCGCCAGGGTGGGGGAACAAAAGAAAAGGACTAAGGAGCCTGAAAAGAACTCACGAACCAGCTGACAACTTCCGAACACTCCTTGACCCATTGCAAGTTGGTCCTACCAAGGATGCAGTCTTCCATCTGACGATGCCCCGGGAGATGACCCTGAGTCACTGGGGTGAAGATCGCCTGCTGCTGCTGTACGTTCATCATGATGGCATGCTGTTGAGCCATCCAAGTCTGCATCTGTTGTGGGGCAGCTGAGAAGCTCTGCACCGCCTCGACCACAGGATTGACCATCTGTGTCACGGTGTTGGTGGTGCTCTCCATCAACTGATGCGAGTGATCTTCCATGGCTGCCCTCAACTCCATGGTGGACACACTCGAGCCCGCCGATGAGGCTGCTGCTGCACTCGTGGTAGGGGTCGGCACCGGCAAGGGATACGCCTGATAGGCGATGGCCCTTGCCCCCTTTCGCTGCGCCCTCTTGTCGGGCGGTGGTGCCGGCAGAGATGGTCCGTAGCGTTGAAACTTGATTTTCTGGTAGCAGGTCACGCACCTCTTCCATTCGCCATACTGGTTCCTCCCCGTGGCAATCGAGGTGATTGGGTGAGGACAATTCTTCGGAGGCGGGATGTGCCTTGTGCCCTCTTAAGGCAGTGAAGTCCCGTCTGAGAGAAGAGGAAGTGGAATGTTCCCGGGACCGTACAGTGCTGGTACAACAGCCGCCTGGTCACAAGAAACCACCGATCTGGTGGCGTCTGGCGGCCTTGACCGGATGCTCGACCCGCTCTCTCCTTCGCAGCCGCCATGAGCATGATGATGACATGGTGTCAGCGCGGAATCCGCCATCGTCGAAATCACTGAAACTTTTGAGGCTTCGAGGGAACGGGCACAAGCAGAATCCTCTGAGCGTGCATTAGAAAAAATGGACACAAGGACTCTGGGTTCATCTGAGTTGGCGCTCGTGCTCTGGCTCAAAACTTCAAAAAATCGCTTTCAGACTGCCACTTTTCGCCACGCTTCAACAACTGCAACTGTGGACCTCGAGCCTCAAAAAAACTGACTAACCACGTCGATCGGAACGGAAAAGACTCCTGTGAAACCTGGACACTAAGTGAATCCAAACTGCCATGCGTTTTGCTAGTTTCACGCTTAAGTTGCTGACACAAAGCTGTTCTTCCGTTCATGTCTGACGTTCTGCAAGTCTCCCGTTTAAGCTGCTGACACGTTTTGCAAGTCTCCTGTTTAAGCTGCTGACACCTTTTGCAAGTTTCCCGTTTAAGCTGCTGACACGTTTCGCAAGTCTCCCGTTTAAGCTGCTGACACGTTTTGCAAGCTTCCCGTTTAAGCTGCTGACACAAAGTTGGTCGTCCGTCCAAACTCAACGTCCACCCGTCGAAAGCCTCATGACCTAATGCCTCGAGTTCTCGACAAGTCGAAAAAACGGCCGCCATGTATGAACTCCTCGCTTCGGGGTTGGCAGCTCAAAAGCCTCCTGCACCTCCTTCGGCGCAGGAAAAATGCCACCACCCCAATCTGCTATGTTTAAGGTCCGATGACCAGAAGACAACCGGCCCATATGAGCCTCGGTTCCAAAATTCTTGAAGGTGATCTTGCCGGTGGCGGTGTCGATGACCGATCCGGCGTGCTCCAGCAATCCGATTGACAGGAGGTGTGGCACCTCACCTTCAATGACAACCAACTTGACGATGCCGGGTTGACCGCCAAGAATGCATGGAGAAAGGGCGGTCTTGACAGCCTTGGCGCTTCCACCTACTCCGCTGGCTGCAGGAAGGTCCTCCTTCAGCTCCACAGTCTGAAGGCCAACTTCTTTCAAGCGCTCCTTCAGCTGCTCATAGTGTCTCACTCCGATAAGGTCCTGAGCAGCTCCAGGATCGATGATTGCGTTGCCTGCCGGGATGGTGAACATGTTGAGTTGAGTCTCAAAGAACGAGCTGAAGGCGGACGTGTTGCCTGAACCCAGGTACGCAAAGGCGCTCAGGGGAGCCTTGCTCGCCTGTCCAGGAGTCGACGAGTGCTCACTTTTCTCACGCTCTGACTTCGAGCGATAGGGACGAGTGCAGCCCTCTCGCCAATCACAATTGCTGCACCTGGTGATTTTCTTCAACTCGGCCACTGGAAGGCGACGGCGAGGTGTTGGCCTGTCAGGTCTCGAGTCCTTGTCATCGAAGTGTCGCCTGTCTTTCTTCCTGGCCGCTTTCAACTGCTTGTTCTCACTCCAAGTCCTCTTCTTTCCTGCCTCCCACAGGGCAAGGAAACTCATCACCTGTTCTTCGTCCATGTCCTGGGCGGCAATCTCGGCGCACGGAGCTCTTCATCAGACGAGTCATCAGCTTCTTCGCCAACCGATGCTGGCTCCACATCGAAGTAGGTGCCCTTGTTGGCCTTGAAGAGGGACTCCGTATCCAGATCGATGACCTGCAAGGCCTTCTTCACTCTGTGATAATCGGCTTTTCCTTCCGTGAGGACGCGAAGATTCTGGGCCGATTGTCGCGACAGGTTGGCCTGCTCCTCAAGCATGCAAGCTTTCAGCTCATCAGGGATCTGCAAGTGCTGAGAGGCCATCTGGAACTGAGCGTCTCGTCGAGCCGCGTATTGAGCCAGGCACTCGTCAGAGCGTCTGCTTCCCTCGTAGAGAGCGGCACGCACAGAGCGGCGTTTCTCGCTGTCCTCACGTTCTCCGGCTTAATGTCCAAAATGGCGAGGATCTCCTGCAGGTAGGAGCCACTAGCGAGGTCGGCCTCAGAGAGGTGTTCAAACTTTTCCTGGAGGGTCCACTCCATTCCTTTGAGAACCTTCTCAGCTCTCCGATAGCTCGCTACGTCGGTATTGCGATTCCACCGGAGAATTGCCTTCTTCCACAACCTGTAATGCTGCCATCCAGCCCAGGCGGGAGGTTCAGAGAAGTCTCCTTTGGAGTGTTGCCACCACTTGTCTTGACCCTGACGCCACCCATGACCTGCAGGATCATGAGAGCGCCAAGGGTCTGTCCCCTTGAATCATGACCTGGACGAGATTCAGTCGCCCCCACAGCAGCTCGAGCGTCTCGCTCGACCTGTTCTTCACTGGAGCCCCCAGGTTGGTCCCCCACGGTGCCAGTAGCTGTCTTGCCAGCCCCACCATCCCCTTGACCACTGATTCCAATCCCTCCATTCCTCATCTGTCCACTCATGCCTTGCAGGCATAGCTCTCGCTGGGCGTGTAGCCCTTGGCGTTGCATCAGCATCGCCTGCTGCAGCTGCGAACTCTTCCACTGTCTGCGTCTCCTCGGCAACGGCCCCCAAGCCATGGAGCAAAGCAACCAAGTGCTCCGCTACCACTGACACGAATGCCAGTGGTAGGGAGCGGTCACTTTTGAAACGGAGCGGGCATGGCAACTACAGTAGGCGGAATCGCCGAAGCTTGAGTGCCGGCGAACAACCACAGCTTGATCAACCCTCATGAACAGACAGGAGGTCGCTTTCACTCAGCTTCTTGATACTACTAGTAAGGCACTTGTTACTAGTAGCGATGCATTTGTTCCTAGTAGCTTCTTGTTTCACACAGGCCTACACCTCTGCATGGTCATGCACACAGCACAAAAACGCCACCTACCGCTCTGTGCAATGGCTGAGTCACTCCAGAAAGTGCGAACAATGGGTTCTCTGCGATCTGCCAGGAAATACCTCCCGTTATGGACATGAAGAGAGTAGACCTTGGCTTCGGTGCAAATGATCTCGCTCTTAGGTTGGAAAGATGCCATAACAAGAAGCTACTAGTAACAAAGGGCATCGCTACGAACGGAGCGGCCTTACTAGGAACAAGAAGCCACTAGGAGCTTCTGGCCTTGCTACTAGGAGCGATTGGACGCTACTAGTAACAAGGGCAGGTTGCCCATCGCTAGTGGAGAAGGGCCATGGCTGGTCAACCTCTGGGCCCAAGACACTGAATCACCCAAAGAGCCTCAGCTGACCAAAAGTGATAGGAAATCACTCGCCAAAAAAGTAGCTTCTCGCTACTAACACCGTAAGGCCAGGAGCCCCATTCGTAGCGTCCGATTGCTCCTAGTAGCGATGCCAGGAGCCCCTAGTAGCTCCTTTGCTATAGCCAGAAACGTGTGGAGAACACGTTCAGTGCAGGCAGGCGACCCCACCAAAACTCCAAGGCCACATCACCAGGTATCCATTGATCTTTTGGAATATCCTAGTAGACGAGATCCGACCCGCAGGCCGGCAGCGACAAAGCGGAGTGTTGCACGCGAGTGAAACGTGCGTTAAACATGCACAC